GCTATCTAATATTAAGTCACGGTGGCTTTAACAGTCTCTTAGAAGATCTTGATCCTGGAGAGGTTTGGGGCAGGGAGCTAGAGGCTAAGGCTACACTGCCTTAGCCTTCCCCAGGAAACAGTCTGCCCCCCAACATTGCCATCTATCACACCCCCAAATTTATACTTCCCATTCTCTACTCTCAGGAAAAGAAAGGCTCAGAGTCCCTGCAATGTGCAGAAATGGCTAACACATACACACCTAAGCACACATTACATTCCTTCCAGCCGAGCTATTCAAAGCTGGTGTTTGGAGTGACAGGCTCACATTAAACGTGCAGAAGTTTCTCAGAATCTGACAGCAGGGCTAGGGTGGCTTTCATTCCCATTGTCCTCTAACCCCCGGCATCGCCAGTCATTAGGGTAACTCACGGGTCCCTAAGTGATCAGTAAATCTTGACTCTCTCCAAAGGCGTCTGAGGGTCTCAGGAACCCTGAAGGAACCGGCAGAGGACCCCAAGACTGCGGCACAGAGGGAGGAATGGGGCTGGCGGAGGCCTCCAGGCTATTTCCCCTACCTCCCCAGAGTGCCCTGTTATCTTGGCCTGTTTGTTGATTGAACAAATAAATGCATGTATTAATATTCAGACCCTCGCTCCAGGGACTGAGGCAGTCCACTTGAGCAAACGCTCGAGAGGCTTGAAACCCCATCAGTCCACATTAACCCCTCTTAAGCACTGGGAGACACATTCACTCAGCAGATGACGCTTGTGTGTCAATCACAGGCTCAGCACCATCTCAGAGAGTGACTTTCTGGAGACATTCTCGACGAGAACCTGGTCTAACTCTGGAGAAGAGCGGCCGATGCCAGTGAAGCCCGTCTCTGGTGCCTCCCCAGGTAGCCTGCCTTACCCAAGCGAGCCCAGCACACAGCTGCAGACCCTGCCTGGGGCAGGTGGCCTCTGAGCAGCCCATCCATAGCCCATCCCTCTGGGCTGTCACGGCAGCCATCTCTTAATTAGTGAAATAAATAGCACGATGATAAATGTCATAATTTACTCAACACATGATCAAAATCATTGCTTTTGCAGACCTCGGGGCAATAAAATGCAATCACAGGGTGATTTATTCCCACCGGCAGGGTGAGTGCAAGGCTTCGTGTCAGTAAGCAGGGCATGGGGGGGGGGGGTCAGACGGAGGAGCCTGGGAATTGGGACCGAGCCCACAGGGATGTCCAGGCATTGAATCCACACGCACACCCATGTACAGAACCACCAGCCAGGCCCAGGACATCTGACATGTTTCCTTCCAAAATGATCAGGGAAGGAGGCTTTAGAGTCATTGAAAGGTCTCCAGTACACATGAGAGGAAAGGAGAGAGAAGCTTCCAGGGCCAGTTCTGGACGAGCGATGGGCTTCGATCAATGTTCCCACGTGAACACTGAAACTCCTAACTCTGCTCTGTCAAAGGAGGGTCCACCTGAGGTAGGAGTGCCTTGCCACCAGGGACAGGAAGTCAAAGGCCATCCCAGGTCACCGTCTGATCCACGGGTTGTGTAGTTGTCCTTGTCTGACCCACGTGGGGGGAAAAGAGGAACTTTTTCCTCCCTCGTCACCCCGAGACCCCACGTCAGCCAGGCCTCGATAGCCATCCTTTCATCTTACCATCTAAAGCAAGGACTTGGCTCTCAGAAAGGGGTAAAGTATGCCCGCAGCGTATCCCCAGTGGCGATACAATACCAGTAAGTCTGCCCTTCATTTCAAGCTGGCCACCAGAAGACCACAAGGTCATTCTCTGTAGGCCTCTCCAGAGGACCCACGCTCTGGAGTGCAGACTGGCCCCAGACCGATGCACTCCACTCCTCCTGGGCCCCTTCTCGGGGAAGCCAAACAGAACGGACCCTCCTTAGCTTCCATCTGTCATCTTTGCTAAGAATGTCACCGCTTGCTCTCCTGCAGCAAGTGAGTGCCACGTTAAAGATCACAAAATTCAATTACTCTGATTCACAGAGCTTCATTATGAGGGTGAGGGTGGATGACTACATATGCGATCCGGGGGCCGTCCTGCGATTGCACCCATGCATGCCTCATGCCGCCCTGAGCCTGACTGGAGCTCCCCAGCCTTCAGCATGCTTGCCCGTGAATGCTTCCTGGTGGTCTCTGCCTCTCTCTGCACTTGCAAGGGGGTTGGAGGGCTGGTGGCTAGGCCGCCTGGTGAAAGCAGCTGAGGTGGGTGGCTGAAGGCTTCTTTGCCTGGACTCAGGAGCAACGACATGCAGGCTGAGTAAGTTAGGAAAAGCTAGGAGGGCCACGAGAACTCCCTGACTTTGCTGTGCTGAGCTACCTCTGCACTTTGAGGAAGACAAAAGAACGGTGAACGGGTCATGACATAGTTCACACGTGGAAAAGGCAGAGCAAAGCTATGAGGAAAAGGGGTCTCAGTGCTTTCTCCAGGGCCAGAGGTCCAGCCTGTGACTTAATCCTTGACTCCAGGCACTGAGAGCGTCCACCTTCCTCCCCAGGAGCCTCCTCTTCCCTCCCTGGACAACACTGGCTTCCACTCCAGTCCCGCCAGCAGCTCCCAGGATCCAATCCCAAGGACAGAACTAACTGCTCGGCCAGCTGCTGTGGAAGGACACAGAGTCCAGCAAAGCGTCACAGAAACAGGTGGTGGCTGCCCGAACTCCCGAAGGAAACGAGGCCAGATAAGCGAGTGCTAGGTGGGTCTCGAACACTGTTTCAGGGGCAGCTATCTCTGAGCACCTTCGTGAAAGTCAGCTGTCAGGTCACCACCATGGGACAAAGCTCTTCGCAGAAATGGGGGAACAACTCACTTTCAAGTGCCTGCGCAGAGAGCAAACAACGCTGCAAAAGTCAGCAAGCCCCGAGGAGTGATAGCGACAGCCTGTACCAGGCCTGGCACCCAGGGAGCCACTGTGATACAGGGCATTTCTTTAAAAAACAAAATCAAACAGAAACCTGTATCAGCCGCAGAGCAGACAAGAACAAAGTCACTTCAAGGTCATCCAAAGAACTACCTATTACCAAGGTTTGTTTACCCTCCAAGCGTTTAAAAGCTGGCCCACTGATTAAATAGTGAAGATCTTTTAAGTACGTTAAACAAACACCCTTCAACGTCTCCAGCATGCCAGCAGGGAAGGGTGGAGAGGCCCTCCACAAAGCCAAAGCCAACTGAGCCCAAAGCACTCAACTGCCATGTTGTTTAAAAACACTCTCCTCGGGCGGCAAAGCACAGCGTGTGCCCACTGGAAGGGTGGGATTCCATCCTCTCCGCTCCTGCCTCACCTCGTTTCCTGGCCCAGCCAGTCAAGCCCCAAGACAATCTCAACCTTGGTCCCCACCCCCAGCATCTGCTGGGGTTGAAGACATTGGCAAGTTAGCTACTGGGCTATAGTTCCTGCCGGGTTGGACTACTGTGAAGCCCAACTCACTCATCTCCTCATTGGTCAACACAGCTTCTCACCTGGATTCTCCGAGCTCTCTGAAGAACAAGGGAGGGTGGCTCACGCTCAGATGAGAGCCCCAGCGCCCTAGACAATGAACTAAACAAGACCCTGTGAGACGAGGGACCTCATTCTGAGACACGCATGGGCCCAGGCACTTGGTCTGTTTTAAGAGCACATGAATGGCTTCTGAATGTGATGTAGCCACCACCAACAGCTGATGCATCAACTCCACCCCCCCCTTCGACGCTATCCCCCCAAAAGGCCTTACAGGTGGCAGGACCAAGGGAAATCCTTGGTGCTTGCTGGAGTTTCCAGACTTTCCCAGGGTCTGGAAGAGGAATCTGTGCATAAGAGGACATTTCATCAGAGTTTCTAGGCAGCTGTGGAGTCTTGGTGTGCAAAGTTTGGAGACTCTAATAGCCAGGGAGAGAAGGCCGGGCCTTACGTCTTTCCTCACGCTCTACAAGAAAACCAACATCCAGATCTGCTTGAAAACTTTCTCAAGGTTGTCAAGGGGCTGGGAGAGGTGGATAGACCAGAGGTAGACCCTTGTCCCACCTGACTCCCACGCCCAGCCCCACGGTTAGGGAACCACTGCAGGCTAGCCGGCTCTCTCCCTCCCCTGGACCATTTGCCCTTCCTGGCACTGACCTCGATGCAGGCACTTGTAGAGGTTGTGAAACACCAAAAGGAATCTGGATTTGCATTCCTGCTTTCCACCCAGGCAGGCTTCCTGCCAAAACTACCACTGGAAACCAGCCCTGTGGGCCGCGGGAAGGCCGAGGCCTACAGGAAAACGTGCTTTTGTGGCATTCTTACTTCCCACGAGGCCACCTTGACAAGCCCCCTCCAAGCAGGGTTCAGTGTGCCCCGTGGCCTGAGTGGACACCTCTGGATGCTTCTGGTTCAGAGCAACCCCTGGCACACCTAGATCTTAGCACTTTTTCTGGTCTAGCATACAATTCTTCCCAAAACACCTGCCCAGGTTAGCGCACATGAGCTCTGGCCCCGCAAAGGTCTGTGGAGATGTGAGAAGGAAGTTAAAGAGGCAAGGCTTCTGTTCCCCAATCTGAGAGTGGACGCCCCCTTAAGGTCTGTCAGGAGCCTTGTGTCAACGGGTCAGAGGCTTTAGGGACTGCATGGCCACCAGGCCTGTTTTGTAAGCTGCCTCAACCTGATGGAGACAGAACGAAGCTCTGAGCATTAAGTTGCCTCTTCCAGAACACTCGACTCTCCCGCAATGAGGGTGGGTCAGCACCTCCATCCAGTAAGAGGCACAAGATGTTTTAAAACATGAGCTCATAAAAGACACATTTCCGGGAAGAGGGTGCCTCAGCCGTCGGGGCTGATGCGTGTCCGAGGGGATGGCAATGTTTTCTGAGACACGTCAGGCAAGCCGCTGGATAAAATAACCCTGGGAAATGTGACATTCGAATGCTCTCTCTCTCCATCAGACCGAGCCTCCTGCCTGGGGCAGTGGCTGCACCAGCTTTATAAATAGATTGAACACAAGATAAATGACCACGATCAATCATGCTCAGATGGAGCACACTCACCTCCCATCCGAAGTCGGCCTCCTTCAGTGCGGCCCGGGGCGCCACCACATAGGGGCCAAGCCTCTCCCCGATTTCCATCTTCCGCTTGGCCCAGATCCCCAGACCGGCTCCTGGGATGGAGGACTCTCGCAACTCGAAGTCTGGTGGGATTGGAATGTCTTCAGGAATGTAGACAGGAGCCTCATAGGGCGAGCCCTCCTTGGGAGTGAAGTCCTCGCTGGTGGGGAAGGGGGATGGCGGCCCCATAGGGATGGGCGACAAGATGCTATCCTCGGTCTCCTCCTCGGCACTCTGGCCGGCCAGCAGGTCCGGGTCGGGTTCATACATATTATTTACAATGTCACCGTCACCTAAAGAGATAATGTAGCATCAGCCTCTGTAGCAGGGGACTCCCCAGGGATGTGGTTCTCATGGAACCCGAGGGCAGCGGAGGCCCGGTAGAATTCCAGCTGCTACCCCTTGCCTGGCAGATGCCATCCCTGCACCACCCCAAACCTGGCAGCAGGCATGCAGTGCCAGTGGCTCCCAGGAAGGAGGTTCCCCCCCCCCAGGCTCCTCTGGGGACCAACATATCTCTCTCTCTCTCTCTCTCTCTCTCTCTCTCTCTCTCTCTCTCTCTCATGGGTTCACTGTTTCCAGATGTGCTGGAGGTGGGCAACTTCATCTCTGCAACACCCGAGGATGTGCTGCCCAGCTCTGCTGTGGAGAGACAGGAATGGAGGACACAAGGCCGTCATGGAGATGGTGATATGTGGGCTCATTCCAGTGCTTGTCCGTGGCCTCAGAGACTAGGGAACATTTAGAATCTGAGCTCATGTGAGAGTTGCTAAAACATGCCACTGCAGCGTAAAGCTACCCTGGCCATCACACTGGGGTAGCCAGGTCCTGGATGGGGTTTCTGCAAGTTACTGGTGACCTCGAGGCAGACTTGGAATAGTTGAGGGCCTCCAGCTTATCTGGAGGGGATGGGTTTTTCTCTAGGGTCCATCATAACCAGAGGTTGATATCAAGACAGAGCCACATGGACTATAAAAAGGGCACACCAAGGCTGTGATGTCATCGGACAGAGAAGGTTTGAGAGGGCAAAGAGGAGATCAGGCAGAAAGGAAAGCAATCCCGTTTCTGGTGTGTACCCTCACAGCACCTCAAATGGCTTCAGACCAGCAAGGACTCAAGCAGCCAGAAGACCAGACCAGCTCGAGCCTGCAGCAGCAAATGATGAGACTGTGCTCTCTCTACATCAAGGTCTATCCACCAGGAGCATGAAGCTCACCTTGCTGCAATGCAGACAGAGCTCAGAAGCATAAACACTGCCTAGAATGCCTGGGGGAGGCATCCTATAGCTATTTTCAAACACCCAACCTATTACTACTAACCAGCTACCTTGCTGTGCCCATAATACATACATTCATTTCTCCTATCTAACTGTCCAGCTTCTTCCCTTTCCCCGCCCCTCACCCATAGAGGCGTCATGCCGATTACCCTGACTTGACTATTCCCCAATGCCTACAATGTGTCCACACTGTAAACATCACACGGTAGTCTTTAAACCCTGACTCTTTTCCCAATGTAAAAATCATACTCTTCCTATAAAGGCTCACTCAGGTTCCAGTGTGCACACGGGTGGAAACACCACAGTGTCTTATCGGTACAAATGATCAGGATTTGTCCATGAAGACTTTAAAAAAATAGATTATGCAAAATAAAAGACAAATACCATGCTTCTGCCCAGCATCCAGAAGAGGCAGATCTGTAGAGAGGCTGGGGGCGTAACTGTTAAGGGGTGCCAATTCTCCGACGGGTAGTGGGAATGTTCCACACCTAGAGGTAGAGGCTGGTGGCACAACACCGGGAAGTGTGCTAAGTGCCACCGGGTCGCATGCTCTGAATGGCTACTTTTTCCGTCCTGTGGATTTGACCTCAGTCAGTGAGGAAAAGCCAGAGGCATGGAGGAGGGAGGTGGGCAGGGCCTTCACTCACTGTACCGACCCCTGATCCAGACGTCCCAGGCCAGGTCCATCCTGCCACTGGTCTGCTGCCTGTGGAAGTCACCCAAGCCATGTCCCATGCCCCTCCCTGCTCCTTGACGTTGGCTGGTGAAACAGAAGCCTCCAGGGAGACAAGAACTTTCAAGTACAAGAAAAAAACGACTTCAGATTCCCCACGTTGGCTGCAAACAAACTGGCTGGGGAAGTAACAAAATGTTTTCTTTCAAAAGAAACCAAAGTCTCGGGGAAAAAAAAATCATGCCGATAACACTTATTTAATTTAGCAGCATTCACAGAAGTAATGACTATGTTTTAAGTGGCCAACGGTTCCTTTTTAATTGGCTGGTGGGATCTTTTCAGGGACTCAACAACATGAAGGCAGCAAAGCTCCCTCCACCCCAAGGCCCGGCGTTGTTTAGGTTTGAAAGAACACCCCCGTAAACCTTCCCAGTGCCTGTGCGGCAGAAAGGTAAATTAGAGGGGGGGGGGTAATTAACAAGCCACCTTATTATTCAGACCTGGTAACTGCACCGAGCTCACAAACAAAAATCTCACTGGAAGCCCATGTTCCCCACGAAGCGCTTAACTCCTTCCGGGTGCTGACGCCACCGCCTCCCCCAGTGGCTGGGGAGCAGAACAGACAGTGCTTCAGGAGCTCTGGGGGGTCTGAGTCGGGCAAGGTCCCCATCTAGTGTGTGGCCACCTCAGGGCTATTCCTTTAATTTTCTTTCTTCTTCTTTTTTTTTTTTTTTAGCTTGAATTCTACTTCCTCAGACCCTCACCTACTCACAGGAACTAGCACTTCAAGAAAGGCCCACTCCATTGGAGGCCCAACAGCAGCCTGAGAGAAGGCAGCGTTTCCTGCGATTAGAGGTGGGCCTGTGACCCAGCCCAGCCTCCTGCGCCCAGGTGGGCACTGAGGGCCCAGGAGACCTAATGAATGTGCAGAGAATGTATTTTTAGAGAGAATGCAGGAAGGGCTCCCAAGTCCCTGAAGAAACCGTCACCTGCTTGGAGTCCTGGGGGAGCGAGGCATGAACCACTCAGCTTTTGGTAGGGGTGAAGAGCCTTATGTTCAACTTGGAGATCAGCCTTCCTTTCTCATGAGCACCAGGCAAGATGCCCTCTGAGATAAAAGCCTCTCTGCCCAAGGTGGGCAGGCGTGTTCTGGGAGTGGGGACCTGTCACCCAGCCTCAGTCTAAGTCACAGGAATGGCAGGTACATTTTCCAGGCCATGTTCTCTTCCCGGTAGAAGGGCAGTGCCAAGGTCATGGGTACTTTGTGGCTCTGTCTGGGAGATAGGATGCCACTGTTTGGTAGGAGGCTTACATTCTCTGTCTGGATCTTGCAATGGCTTCATACTGGAGATTCTTGGCTGGGCTGTCATTCGTAAAATTTGGAACGTCTACCAAAATGATAAAAGTGGGGAGGGGAGGGTACATGGAGCAGCAGGAAGAGGGGATCAGCATGAACCTGGCCGGCCCTCGAGCCAAATGGCCCTGAAGCAATAGCCAAGTCTGTTTTGTATGCTAGAAGCACCTGCTCAATGCCCCAGTGTCTAGCTAAGCCTCTTCCTGGTGAACTCAACACCAAGTCCCTCTGACCATCACAGCAGCCAATGTTCAATGACTATCTTGACCCTGGAGCATGGGACAGAGCTCAGCATCTCTGAAGCGTCAGGGGAGCATGGGCTGAGAACCCATCAGGACCACATCTTTCATCCTGCTCTGTATTCCACCCAACCTGGCTTTTAGGGTTGGATCTCTTCTGACACACTTTCATTCAGGACACAAGCTACCCAGCATCTCTTCAGAGGCCCTACTGAAGAGCAAACATGAATGGGATACTAAGGTCTAGAAAGACAGAAGGGAGAGAGGGGGGAGGAAGGGAGGGAGGGAGGGAGGGAGGAAGAGAGGGAGAGAGAGAGAGAGAGAGAGAGAGAGAGAGAGAGAGAGAGAGAGAGAAAGGACAGTTTACTAAACATCAGCATCAACAGGCAGCAGAGGGGTGTTACCATGGTACCATGGTATCTCTCAGGCTGGGACTCTGCATCAGCCACGACACTAACATCTGTAAAGGATGGTCACTGGCTGTCTTGCCACCAAACAGGTAGATTTAAACCTTAATTGGTGGCCAGAGGGAGCCTGAGGAATTTTCCCGCAGGTGATGGGTATCTGGTTATAGTTCCTGTTTTATTGTGAGGCCAGACTTTAAGGAGAGGGTGCCTTCCTTGAAGGCCTGGAGCAGGCATAGTGAGGGTGATACTGGCAGGGATAACAAGGGAAGTGTTTTCTGCTCATCAATCAGGCAATCAGGGGTGGTGGTGGCGGCGGCGGCGGCGGCGGCGGCGGTGGTGGTGGTGGTGGTGTGTGTGTGTGTGTGTGTGTGTACACAAATATGTGAGCATGTGAGAGCTCTGTGTGAGTATGTGTGTACATGAACAGAGATAACGGGAACTCTGTAAACAGACCCTCGGGGCCAGTGCAAATCCACCCACACAAGTCCACTGCCCTCTGCCTGTAGGGTTCTGGAGAAAAAGGAAAAAAACAGCGGGGTGCCAGAAGTCTCTAATCACATGCCCAGCAAGCACTAGACAGAGGCCCAAAAAAGTCTCTGGGATATCCTGATGGGGCCTGGACAGCAGTGATCTTCACTGGTGGAGGTAGGACTCCCCCCCCCCAACAGCAACTACAGGCCTTGTTGGCATCTCTCTCAGGAGTCTCAGAACAGTTTCCCCAATTCATTTTCCTCTCAGGACATCTCCAACTGCCTATAGGAATATTCTGACTTCGTTCTGTACCCAAAAGCACCACATAGCCTACTCCAGCTCATAGGGCACAAGCCTATGTCAGCTGGTCCCAGAAAGGAAGACACCAGGCTGACACCCGCAAGTCTACCCTCAAGAGCAAAGAAGTCAAGCCATGACTCAGTTCAGCAATGACAACACTCTTGGAATGGAGTCTCTTGGAATGACAATCTCTTGGAAGTGAAGGAGGCAGAGAAGGGATCAGGACAGCAGGGCAGGGCCTTCTGAAGAAGGTATAACCTAACATCTGGGGAATCCAGGACAGGTTTTGGGGGGGGGGACAACACTCACTAGGAGGTACTGGCCCCAAGGGTGTTTGAATCAGAACAAAGTGGCCATTGATGATCTGCATCTTGACTGTGGTGGAAACACAGGCTCACTCTGGTACAAAGACCAAAGATGTTAAGAACAAGTCCCTTGGGCCATCTGAAGAAGATGGGTGTTACCTACATCAATAACCTGTGCTCAAGGAACTGCATGCAGTGCCAGAGCTTGGCGGAACTCTACAATTGTTGGAGCTGTGCAGCAATCTCACTGACTTGTGTCCTTGGGTCC